GTATCGATGGATTCCTCTCACCTTGTACTACATAAACTGAAGGAATTATGCCGCAGACCCCCCCCCCAAAAAAAAAAAAAAAAATAAAAAAATCCCCACATTATTGGCCCCGACAGCAGAGGAGGGCATGGAAGGTACCAGGGAAATGTATACACAGAATCAGTCGCTATTTTGTCTAATGCAAGGGGCTGTCCCCCCTGCGCCCACCCAGGAAAGCAAGGAATCCTCCACGTATTCACGGCAAGAGAGGGCATCGGGCAAACGGCGAACGTAGGTCGTCGCTCTACCCTGTCGTGAACACGTGATTCTTTGTATTCTTGGGCGGGGGTTGTGGGGTGTTGCATGGGGCACAGCATTAGATGATATAGTGACTGATTCTGTGTATATTATTCCTTGGTACCTTTTATCGGAACCAAGATTGTTGCTAATAGGGTGGGAGATCTGCTGCATAATTTCAATATATATGGAGAGTAGAGAGCAAGAAGAATCGTCGCGATAAGTTATGCGAAGGTATTGTGTAAAATTACTCGGAGACGATCTACCAAAAAGAAAACCGAAAGCCTACCCTCGCCTCGCCCGCGCTCATGCGAGTCCCCCCTCGCGCCGCCCCGTCTTCTGTGGACGACGGAGGCGAGACGAAGCCCCTCCTGTAAACAAACACGGCGCCTCGGGACATCGCTGTAACCAGGTTCTTTCGCTTGGTTTTTTCCTGTCGGGGTTTCAGGAACACCTTAACAGCATCTCAGGAGGATAGGGCTGGTTTTGAGTGGTTGATACAAAGGTCATCAGGGTAAATAAGGGATAGGATAAAGTTAGGAAAGGGGAAAGAGGCGTGTCAGGGGCAAGGCGGGGCTGTCACTGACCTTTTGGCTAAGGGAAGCAACAGGTCAGGTCACGAAGGTCAGGCATGTGAAGGCTGTTGTATGTCATTTCAAGGTCAAATCAAAGAGAAAGAGGAAACATTCCGAATAGGAGGTTTAAATCACGGGATTCTCTCTTTTTAAATTGTATTTTTATTGAATTGGAATATGACTATGACCGACATTATGAATGGTGAATTAGTGCATGTATTATTATTTTTTCAGGATGGACACATAGTGATAAGACTAAATATGCACTAAATCAAAATCATAGCTTAAAAATACAGATACAGTTACAGATACAGATACAGATACAGATACAGTTACAGATACAGATACAGTTACAGATACAGATACAGTTACAGATACAGATACAGATACAGATACAGATACAGTTACAGATACAGATACAGATACAGTTACAGATACAGATACAGTTACAGATACAGATACAGTTACAGATACAGATACAGATACAGATACAGATACAGATACAGATACAGTTACAGATACAGATACAGTTACAGATACAGATACAGATACAGATACAGATACAGATACAGTTACAGATACAGATACAGTTACAGATACAGATACAGTTACAGATACAGATACAGATACAGATACAGTTACAGATACAGATACAGTTACAGATACAGATACAGTTACAGATACAGATACAGTTACAGATACAGATACAGTTACAGATACAGATACAGTTACAGATACAGATACAGTTACAGATACAGATACAGATACAGATACAGTTACAGATACAGATACAGTTACAGATACAGATACAGTTACAGATACAGATACAGTTACAGATACAGATACAGATACAGTTACAGATACAGATACAGTTACAGATACAGATACAGATACAGATACAGTTACAGATACAGATACAGTTACAGATACAGATACAGTTACAGATACAGATACAGATACAGATACAGATACAGTTACAGATACAGATACAGTTACAGATACAGATACAGATACAGATACAGATACAGATACAGATACAGTTACAGATACAGATACAGATACAGTTACAGATACAGATACAGATACAGTTACAGATACAGATACAGTTACAGATACAGATACAGTTACAGATACAGATACAGTTACAGATACAGATACAGTTACAGATACAGATACAGTTACAGATACAGATACAGTTACAGATACAGATACAGTTACAGATACAGATACAGTTACAGATACAGATACAGTTACAGATACAGATACAGTTACAGATACAGATACAGTTACAGATACAGATACAGTTACAGATACAGATACAGTTACAGATACAGATACAGTTACAGATACAGATACAGATACAGTTACAGATACAGATACAGTTACAGATACAGATACAGTTACAGATACAGATACAGTTACAGATACAGATACAGTTACAGATACAGATACAGATACAGATACAGATACAGTTACAGATACAGATACAGATACAGATACAGATACAGATACAGATACAGTTACAGATACAGATACAGTTACAGATACAGATACAGTTACAGATACAGATACAGTTACAGATACAGATACAGATACAGATACAGTTACAGATACAGATACAGATACAGATACAGTTACAGATACAGATACAGTTACAGATACAGATACAGATACAGATACAGATACAGATACAGTTACAGATACAGATACAGATACAGTTACAGATACAGATACAGTTACAGATACAGATACAGTTACAGATACAGATACAGATACAGATACAGATACAGTTACAGATACAGATACAGTTACAGATACAGATACAGTTACAGATACAGATACAGATACAGTTACAGATACAGATACAGATACAGTTACAGATACAGATACAGTTACAGATACAGATACAGATACAGATACAGATACAGATACAGATACAGATACAGATACAGATACAGATACAGATACAGTTACAGATACAGATACAGTTACAGATACAGATACAGTTACAGATACAGATACAGATACAGTTACAGATACAGATACAGTTACAGATACAGATACAGATACAGATACAGATACAGATACAGATACAGATACAGATACAGATACAGATACAGATACAGATACAGTTACAGATACAGATACAGATACAGTTACAGATACAGATACAGATACAGATACAGTTACAGATACAGATACAGTTACAGATACAGATACAGATATAGATATAGATAAAGATAAACATACAGATACAAATAAAGATACAGATATGGATATAGATGCAGATACAGATACAGATACAGTTACAGATACAGATACAGATACAGATACAGATACAGATATAAATATAGATATAGATATAGATATAGAAGCAGATACAGATATAGGTAGAGATACCCATATGTATACATAAATTATATATTTGCATGATCAATTGAAAAGGGGAAAGAAATGTGTCAACATGCAAAAGATGAAGAATTAATCATTTTCAGCAGGTAAATATATGAATATCAAGTCGAATGAATGTAAAGTGGTAGTTGTATATGTAACATTTCCTTTCTCCCTTGGCAGACACAAGTCACAAAAATGATAAAGGAAGAACATAGAACCACTGCTTAATAACGTATGAATCTCACAAGAATCTCATAAGAATCTCACAAGAATCTCACCAATCTCCATGTCATAATACAAACTACCATTTTGTATTATTCATACAAAATTCACCCATCGAACAAGATGCAGCTGTTACGCATTCATTATCAGAAGTTATTTGTCTGCCTGTCGTTTGTGATGCTGGTGTTTGTGGTGGTCAGAGTTTGGGACAGTGACAGTGACCCCATTGCACAACGGCAGAATGGCTCAGGATCTCTCAAGATCTCCGAGAAGAGGCAGGGCAGTGTCCATGAAAACAGCATCAACATAGACTCTCCTGTTTTGTCTCTGCACCCTGAACGCTCAGGGAACAAGGGTGGCAGTGTAAATGTGTTTGCGGATCTGTTTCAAGAATTGGCCAAGGTAGGTTGTGTTCAGCTTCATTGAAATCTTGATTGAATTAACAGTGGATTATAGTACACTAATAATTTTTAAAACAAATATTAACCCATTGCCGCCAGGAAAAATGCTGTGCTCATTTTTTATATTTTTGTGAAATGTCTCTGTACATAGATGGCTCTGCTAGTGTTTAGCTATAAAGGAGTCAATTAGTAGATCTTGAGACCTTACCTGATTTCACCTTTCCTTGAATTGGCGGGAAAAACGTATTTTTTACTTGTGCTATAAATTAGGTGGTGTTCACTCGTGTATTAACTCTTGATGAGACAACACCTTTTCAAATGCAGCAGCAATAAATAAGAAATCCTGTGCCACAAGAGCTACCCTGGAGCCTGGGGCACTTTCTAGTGCTTTGCCAGCACCTTCAGTGCTCTTGCTTTTGCAGGTGGCGCGAGGCAGTAGGTCTAGTCAGCACCCCACCTCAGACCTGCAGCTCTCTTCTACACCAGGGTAGCCCTTGTGACTTTGACCCCTGGGTAGGGAGGCCCAGTAGTCGAGGGCATAATTTTTCTTATATTCTGAATTCTTTTCCTTATAATGTGACTTTCCTGAGCCTACCGGTGTTCCTTTGTGAACTTCTGTATTCGCTTGGGGGGTGGGCATTGAATTACCGTCCCTCGCTTAAGCAACTTCGGCGGTAAGGAAGCGTCCCACACATAACTCGATCCCTCTGTGGTACTGGAGAACGCAACCAGGCTTCCACGGGGGGGTAGAAGACGGAAAACTGCCTTACTGTCTTAGCTATTGCTGTTAGAGTGATACCAAAAGTTTTTGATCCCTTCAGGACAACAATTTTGAGGCAAGGGGTTGGACCTGGTCTGATACCCAGCATGATTGATACCCTGGCTACCCCTTCTCCTCCTCAAGGAGGAGGGGTGACTCATGACCCTCCTAAGACTAATCTGACTATGAGCAATGGAAACCCCACTAACGACAAAAGGAGATGACCACTCTTCAAAATCCCAACTGAGAATGCGAGGTTTGCGAATGTAAAATGCGTGAATGAAAATCAATCGCTTCTGAACATGAACTCCTTTATCATCAAAAAGGTCCATGATGGTCAAGTGGACGGCGACTTTGATTTTGTCAAAAAATTGAGAGATGGAAGCCTCCTTGTTAAAGTACAATTCAACTCCCAGATTAAGGATTTACTTAAGTTGACGCAAATTCATGATCTTCGAGTTAAAGTAACTATTCCTTTTGATCCAAATACCTGTATGGGAATAATCTTCACAGGGATTTGAGGACGATGGAAGAAAGTGAAATTCTAGAGAGCATGAATGACCAAGACGTAGTGGACGTTCATTGTATGACCAAGAAGGATGGGAATGTGTGAACGAAAACTGGACTGTGTTTTTTGACCTTTGCTTTAAATAGAATCCCAGTATGTCAATGTCGGTTATGAACGTGTTCAAGTAAGACCTTATGTCCAAAAGCCAATGCATTGTAATAGATGCCAAAAATTCAGACACCTCATTAAGATGTATTGATAAAGACTCTAATAAATTTACTTGCCATAAATGTGCTGAAGCCCATGATACCATCACATGTACTAGCCAGATTTCCAAATGTGCTAACTGTGGAGGTCCCCATCAATGAGGATCTGCTGAGTGTAGCATCCTGAAGAAGGAATCTGAGACATTAGCATATATGAGGAAACATAAAGTTAGTTATCCTGAAGCTAAGAGCAAAGTTGAAAGTTTGACACACAAACCCGATACTTCCTATGATGCAGTAGTAACTAACAACACCCCTAGTGCAAGTGATGTCAGTCAACAGCTTGCAGCTAAGGATAAGGAAATTGCTGAACTCAAACAAACCGTTAAAGAATTAAATATCAAAGTTTATCAATTGACAAAATTGGTCGGTCAAATGGCTGCATCAACCCAGCATAAACATCATAAGGAAGAGGATATCGAATCACACTCCGGAGCACACCTCCCTGTCCAGGCTACTCCTGTGAGGACTTTGTCTGGCTTGCGATCGGTTTCTCGAGAGAGAAGCAGATCGCAATCTGTTAGTTGCCTCCCTTGCCAGGAGATACAGGACATGGAGGCTTCTGTCTCCAAACCATCCCAAGAGAAGTCCTCGGGGAGCAAGGGAGAGGAAGCACCTCCCTCCCATAAAAAGAAAATTAAAACTGGTGGACAAGGCACTTCCAAATCCCATAAAATGTAATCTTCGCGTCGACCATTATACAATGGAACTGTTGAAGTCTTAGATCTAAAGTAAATGACCTTAAATTATTAGCCTCATCCTATGTTCCCAATATAATAGTTCTCCAAGAAACGCATTTAACACACCTTATCTCAGATGAGGTTGTTTCGCTGAGGAACTACCATCTATGTCGGAAGGATCATGAGGGTAGGGGTGGAGGCGAAGTCACCATGTACATCCACCAAAACCTCCCTTTTACAGAAGTGACTATTGATTCTGCTTTGGAGTTTGTCGCATGCAAAATAAAAATTAATGGCACTTATCTGGCTATATGTTCAGTTTATTGGCCACCTAATATAGTGATAAGCTATGATGAGCTTTTTTGCTCTTCAGGAACGTCTCCCACAAAATAAAGTAATTTTAGGTGATGTTAATGTTCATCATATGTTATGGGGTTCCCTGCGGGTGGATGGTAGAGTAGTTAAGTTGTTTAATGAGTCTGATCTAGTCCTTCTGTACGATGGTAGTCCAACGCTGATGGACAATAATACCGGTAATTTGAGCTTTATTGACTTATCATTAGTTTCTTCATCAGTAGCAGCCAAGTGCCTGTGGCACATCATTGACGACTAGTTGGGAAGCGATCACCTTCCTATTTTGATTGAATATTCATGCTACACAGTGAGAACGCCTTCAGCACCTAAATTTAACATAAAAAGAGCAGACTGGGTTGCCTTCACAAGGAGCGTTAAGCTCAAACTTGTTGGAGAAACCATTGATGATAAAGTAAACAATATTCAGAATTCGATTTTAGAAGCAGCATTGCTATCCATTCCTAAAACTTCGACAGATAGTGTTAAGCATACAGTTCCATGGTGGGCACCAGCAATAAGGCCTACAGGCTTTTCAAAAATAACATCACAAATGAGAACTTTTGCAATTACAAACTAGCAAGAGCTAGGGCTCGTAGAGTAATAAGACAAGCAAAAAGAGACTCCTGGCGGAGCTTTGTGTCTACAATTAACAGCAATACCAAAATATCAGAGGTTTGGTCCACTATCAATAAAATCAATAAGAAAAAAACATCTTTCAAAATTAAAGACATCATTCACAAGGGTAATAATTTAGATTCACCTAGAGACACTGCTAATGCACTCGCCAGGCAGTTCTTTCATACAAGCAGCTCAGCAAACTACCATCCCGCATTCCTGCCCATTAAGGAAGCGGCTGAGCTGCAAGCTATTCACTTTGCCACAGGAGATTACTTTGATTACAATAAAGATCTAACAATAGAAGAGCTTGTCCGAGCCCTAGAAACCTGTAGAGGAACATCCCCAGGTCCCGATGAGATTCGATATGAGATGATAAAGCATCTTAATCATGATGACATGATTAAGTTGCTAGAAGTGTACAATGAAATTTGGAAAAGCCACACTTTTCCAAACTCATGGCACACATCATTCCACATCATTCCCATATTGAAAGGAGGGGGTAATCCCAGATTTGCCATCTCTTACTGCCCAATTGCATTGACAATTTGCTTATGGAAGGTCATGGAACAAATTGTTAACAGTAGGCTATTACATTTTTTAAATTCTAGTAATTTGCTAGTTGACGAGCAGTGTGGTTTTCGAAAGGGACGCCAAACTCTCAATCAACTAGTAAAGCTGGACAGTCATATTCAAGAGGCAACTGCCGAAAAAGATTATTTGATTTCAGTATTTTTAGATATAGAAAAAGCCTACGACATGACATGGCGATATGGCATACTCAGAAAACTTTATGCTTTTGGATTATGTAGAAACTTGCCTTGCTTTATTCAAAATTTCATTTCTGACAGAACATTTGCTGTCAAATTGTTTTCTGATGTCACTTTTTCTGACATTTTTGTCTAGGCAAACGGGGTCCCACAAGGAAGTGTCTTGTCACCAACATTATTTCTATGTATGATAAATGATATCTTACCAGCTCCTCCTCGGAATCTTAAATACTCACTGTACGCTGATGATTGTGCATTATGGCATTCCAGCAATAATGCATAATTCTCAGCAAATTGCATCCAATTGGCACTGGATATGATTTATAACTGGGGCCTCCAGTGAGGTTTTAAGTTTTCCACTAGAAAGAGTATTGGGGTAATTTTTTCACACAGGAGGAAGCCGAACATCAGGCTAACTCTAGACCACCACCCAATACCTATTTAAAATTCTGCAAAATTTCTTGGGCTACTTTTTGATAGTAGACTCAATGGGAAAGACCACATTGGTCAGTTAAAGAATAAATGTCAAAAACCACTAGATTTATTAAAGTGTATTTCTGGTAATAAATGGGGAGCTGATAGTCTTTGCCAATGATATGTAAAGCCCTGATTAGGTCTAAAGTAGATTATGGGTCAATCGTGTATGGTTAGACCTAGATAACAAGTTTGAAAGGTTTGGATGCTGTGCAGAATGCTTGTTTGCGTGTGTGTGTGTGTGTGTGTGTTGGAGCCCTAAAATGCACTCGGATCGAGCGTCTTGAGGTGGAGTCAGGAGTACCTCCCCTCCGACTCAGACACGGCCAGTTAACCCTGAGCTATGCCGCGAAGGTGTCTCGAGACCTGAGCCACCCTAATGGCAATGGCACTAGGCCCTTTGCCAAACGACTCCATGACCTCGTCGAGAAAGTCGGTATAGATCTCTCTACCATCGATACCCTGGTTCATTCAAATATAGCGCCATGGGAAACCCCCAACTTTTCTATCGTGGAATCCTGGCTTCCATCAGCCAAGGCCATGGTGCCGGAGGTGGAGGTACGCCAGAGGTTCAGAGAGATCCTTATTAAACATCTCAATTTTTTTCATATATATACTGATGGCTCCAAGACAGATGATTGTGTGGGTGCGGGTGTATGGTCAACTGAATGTGAACTAAAGTTCAGACTGCCGATTCATACATCAATCTTTCTTGCTGAACTTTTTGCTATTGACAAAGCTATTGATTTTGCACTATCAACGACCCACAATAGAATAGTTATTTTTTCAGATTCATTAAGTTCACTTAAAGCTATTAAATCCTTAGAAACCACTAAAAATGAATTGCTGGGTAATATCATTTGTAAGTTACATGGTGCCAGGCCACTCTGGTATCCATGGCAAAGAACAGGCTCACAAATTAGCTGGGTCAACTGGTGATCTGGACACTACCAGAGTTTGTACAGATCTCAGGTGTTTTGTGTCTCTTATAAAAGCAAAAATACATCTCCTGTGGCAAAGTGAGTGGACCAGCCTCTAACTCACAAACAAAATCAAGAACACCATAGAACTGTGGGACACATCCCACAGGAAGGAAAGAAGGGAGGAGGTGGTGTTGGCCCTCCTTAGGGTCAACGCCTCAAGAATTAACCACCTCACTCCCTACATAGAAAAGAAATACCCTCCACAATGCCAGACATGCAATTCCACCCTGACCATAAACCACATCTTAATAACATGTCAAAATTATAATAACCAAAGAAACCATATAACAAATTATTTCAGATAAAAAAATAAAGATTTAACAATATCAAATCTCTTATCAGATGACAAAAAAATAATCAATAAAGTAATCACTTTTTTAAGGGAGACAATACTTAATGACCTTATATAGATTGATAGAATAAATAGGATCTATTGGCCACATGCCGCTGGTTTATAGCCAAGAAATCCAACAATGAAAGAAAGAAAGAAAGGTGGTGTTATTTTTATTATACTATAATGTTATAAACATTTGTAACAGCAAAATAAGGTAATGTAAAATATTTTCGTAAATCAATGAAAAGGGTGAATGGGCGAGACAGGCAGTACTGGTGACTTAGTACAAGTGTAGCCATCTATGTGTAAAAACAATTAAACAAGTAAACTCACATGTACGTACATGCCATGCCCGTCGGCAATGGGTTAAGAAGATACATGTCTCTCT